CCCAACGATGCCGTCGCCTCGCGCCACTCGCATCCAGGAGCTCGCCGGTCTTCCCCTCGCCTCCCGCCACCACAACGGAGCACCTCACCACCAACGACTAGCCCCGGTGCTCCCTCCGTCTCCTTCATCTCTCCCTTCTTTCTCTTTTTCCATCCGCCCTCTGGTTTCACTCACCCTCCCATGTCCTTGCCCGTGCAGGTCATCGCCATGGATGACCAGGAGCTTGCTGCCTTGGCTGCGAAGAGGATCCCCACGCCGTCGCCTTGCTCAACCATGGATCCAGACCCTCTGCAGCAGCCGACGCTGGATCTTGTCTACATCTGCCCTTCCGCAGCTCCGACGACCCCTAGCGTCGCTGGATTGAAGATTTTTTTGTTTTTGAAATTAATAGTAGTAGCGCGGATGCGACCATGACGTAATAGTAGCGCCTCGTCGCTTTTGTTTTTGAGATTTTTTTTGTTTTTGAAATTAATAGTAGTAGCGCGGGTCGCACCCACGCTACTACTAACACACCCCTAGCGTCGCTTTTCCTTAGTAGTGGATGCTTCACCAAAGAGTTAAAAGAGTTATGCAGGAACATGACTTAATAGACACTAGATCGGGATCGCGCCTCGTCGCGAAGGTGCCGGCCCCAACATTTTGGTCAAACAAGTAATGCTAAGTTAGTAATAATTCAGGTTTAACATATGCTATTAAATTATGATCACTGAAAAGTTTGTTGATACAAATAAATAATTTTAAGCTGGACCTTTCCATGATCAAACTTTAGTTTAACAAAATGCAATCTACACGATCATAATTTTAAACTGACTGGATATTATTTCATAAAACAAATGGTTAAAGCAGTGAATCTCCAAAACAGACACTTCTCCAACACATGTTCTGCATATTCGAATTCTAATAAAGCCAAGTGCAAGCCTGAACTTACGAATATAACATAAGTTTGAAAACAACCAGGAATGTAAGTTGACTAAAACGAATGTCAGTTGATCTCAAAGCTACAAATTGTAGAATTCACAAAAAAATAGTACAGGAAATTACTGAGCCGAAATATTTTGAGCCAGCTAAATTAACTCTAAATTTTGTTTCTGTGACATAGAACCCGAATGTGTCAACGACCTGGACTGTAAGTTATGTGGCGAACTGGCCAGAAACCTCGTCAAGCTCCATGATGCCGGGTGAACCTGGATGAAATGGAGCAGCGTGGATCTCACGTCAAAGAGGTCGGGGACGCCGCTCGGTGGATGCGTGGTGGCGACGGAGTCCGAGATGAAACCGGCGGCGGCGGGCGGCAGGGCGGCTATGATTGGCCGCGCATGGCGCGAGGCCGTCGGGTCGGGGTGATGCAGGAGTCCCGGTCGGAGTAGGGCGGTGACGACCGGCGTAGATCGACGGGCGGGCCGGCGCGCGGACGACGGCCTTGAGGGCTGCCTGTCACGCGAGGCCGGCGGGTCGGTGAAGTAGCCGGCCGGTTGCGCCAATGTCGGAGTAGAGGCGCGAGGTGTCGACGGCGGCGGTGGGCGACACAAACCGATCAAGAAAAGATCGGAAAACCAAAATGTAGACGCCGATCAAAGCGACCGACGAAAGAGAGAAAAACCCGGATCAAAGGATCGGGAAAAATACTCTCTAGGGCAGCCGGCCAACACGGCCGGCGGATGAACCCTAGGTACGGGCGGCGCGACCCCCAGCGGCGGTCATGGATGCCGACCACCCAAGGGGCGGCGCGCGGGTGCGAAAGCGGCGGCGGCTAGGGTTTAGAACCCGGAAACTGATACCATGTTAAGAAGGGAGAGAGGGATTTAGTGGAATAGTTTGATGTATTGCTTGAGCCTCGTGGGCATATATATAGGAGTACAATGATCTACTTGAAGTACAAGACAAGGCAGAACAAATCCTAGTCTATCTCGTCTTTCCTAATAAATATTATACTCAACAGATGCGTTCGAAACTTCCGGTGGCGATCGAGATGGATTCTTCAGTTGCAGTGAAGATGATAAAATCCAGTGATGAAGATAGATCAGTCTATTTGGCTTTGGTAAAGGAGATCAAGTATCTTATGGGTCTTCGTAAAACTAGTATTACTCACGTTAGTAGAGCTCAAAATAAAGTTAGTAACTCTCTTGCAAACTTTGCTCGTGTGGAGGGAAGAACTATGACCTGGCTTGGGTCAGGACCTCCGGAGACCATTGAGCTTAACTCCTTTGATTGTAATCCTGTGTGAAGTGAGTAACACAAGTTTTCCCGAAAAAAAAAAAGCAATCATCCGTTGCTTTTGCACGAGAATTTTGTTACACATGCACAAGTACAATTTTCAACCACCCGCCGGAATACACACGCTAGCGTACTCGTAGGTGTTGGAACTGGTCTCCGAGACCTTATTTATTTCATTCCTGTTTCTGCGTATCGGCAGCAGTGCGTCGGCGGCGTGGAGATTACGAGTTGACCTTGGAGCAGACGAGCCTGATCTGCCCCTGCGTCCCCGTCTTGGGCGCGATGTTCCCCATCTTCACCATGGCCGTTGCGAAGGCGTTGTTGAATGTCGCCGCGCTGGACGCGAAGCTCATGACTGTGTTGTCGGCGCCGCCGCCGTTGAACAGCACCTGGTCCGAGTGTAGGAGCCCCTTCTGGGAAATCAGGTTGCTGTAATAGGCGTTGTCGAACGCGTTGGGCGTCGCTGTGTCCAGCGGCGCTAGGCTGCTGTCGCCGCCGGACTGGGGGCAGTTTGCCTTGAGCGCCGTCGCGAAGGCCGTGTTGATGTTGGCCTCGTTGTAGATCCTGTTCCTGAAAAACCGGCACTGCGATTGTCCGAGCGTGTGGGCGCCTGTAAAGCCATGTCAGAATGTCTCTCTAGCGAGCCGTTGTACTAGTAAAGTTTGAGTTGAGAGAAATCATGTCGATGGTTTGTACCTAAGAGCGCAACCATGTCTGTCAGGCTGAGCTGCTTGTTGGCGAACGAGGTTGTGAGGTTTTGGAGGTCGAAAGTTGGAGGTGGAAGGTCATTTTCTGCATTGGTCTTGCTTGCGGTGGTGGAGTCCCTCCTCCCGAGAAGAACAGGCCATGTTGGCCCTCCCAGCTGCACAAGATTTTAATTTCAAACCACAGCCAAGAAAGTACTCCCTCCGTCCCATAATGTAAGACGTTTTTTGACACTACACTAGAGTCAAAAAACGTCTACATTATGGGACGAAAAGAAAAAACGTCTTACATTATGGGACGGATAGAGTAGTTCATATATACTCCCCGGTTTCACAATATAAGGTGTATTGATTTTTGTGCAGGTCAACCATTTGAATATTTGACTAAGATTATAGAATAAAATAAGAACATCTGCAATATTTGATAGATAAAATATGACACTATTTTTCATAAAGGATCAAATGATATAATTTTTGTATTGTGGATATTGACATATTTTTCTAAAAACTAGGTCAAACTTGCACTCATTTTGATTTTTTGAAAAAATAAATACACTTTATATAAAAAAACCGAGGTGCAGAATCATGTGCAGAATCACACGCATTAGTGCTAACTGTAGAGCTTACCGCAACGACGGAGTCACGGGCAGCGACGGCGAGGATGTCGGCACAGGAGACGGTCTGCGTGCACGCGGCCTCGACCTGGGTCTTGATGTTGTCTATGACGTTCATGCCTCGAATGGAACCGGCGTTGGGAGCAGCTCCCTGCTCGCCGACGAAGCTCCCGGTGTCCGCCAACAGAACGGACCCGTCACATCCCTGAAAAAAAAAGTATAGAAATAGCATAAAACTAATAATTTACAGGCTAGGGTTCCAAAAAACTACCGGTTTTTAATTTTTCTCAGATAATTACCAAGTGAGCGGTCCGCCGTTTCAAAAAAACCCAAAACACTCGTTGCTAGCGATTTAAACCATTTTATGACAGGTCGGGCCCACCTCTAAACAATCCGTTTGTTTGACCGTTCTGTTTGACCGTTACCTTACATGTGGGACCCACGTGTAAGTTATCTCTTCTTCCTCCATCTTCTATTCTCTCCTCTGCCTCTTTCTTCTTCCTCTCCCCCTACCCGACTACCCCCACCCGCCGACGACCACCTCCACCATTCACCGCGCGCTAAGAGAAGGTCGACGACGGGAACGAAGGCCGTGCGGAGGAGCAGCCGCAGCATAGGAGCATAGGCCGCTGGCTTCCGTGTGCCATGGCCAGGAGCGTGCCCGCAACGCCCAAGAGCAAGGGGCGCCTCTCGCAACGCTAAGAAGAACGGGCCGCCACCATCCGCCCAAGGAGCACGGGCCGCCACCAGCCGCGCCATGGCCAGGGGCTTGGGCCGCCGCGCGCAGGAGCACGGGCCACCGCACGCCATGGCCAGGAGCAGCGGCAACAGCCGGCAGGGAACTCCGCCACCCAGTGCGCCCGCCTCGCGCCGAAGAACGCGGCGGCCGAGCCACCTCCTTTCTCTAGCGCACGCGGGTTAGCCTCAAGGGCCTGATTGCTTTTTCTAAAAACTTTCAGGGACCCGATTGCTTTTTTAGGAAACTTATAGGGGTTGTTTGTAAATGTATAAAGAATAGATTTTTATATTAGAATATGACAAAGGGACACTGACAAGTGGACCCCACATGTAAGGTAACGGTCAAACAGATGGTCAAACTAACGATTTTCTTACATGCGGGTCCCAACTGTCATAATTGCGATCAATTTTAAAGCACTCTATGATTAGGGTTTTTTGAAACAGCGGACCGCTCACTTGGTAGTTATCTGAGAAAAATTAAAAACCGGTAGTTTTTTGGAACCCTAGCCTGTAAAGTAGTAGTTTTATGCTATTTACTCCATTTATCAGTACTACTTAACGTCCATGCATATGCTACAACTGCCTAAGGTTATGTGAGACTTGCATCAACAAAGCAGTCGTGGAAGTGCAGCCGGACCAGCGACGCCCCCATGCGGGGCTCGCTGTTCACTGCGGCCTGGACCGCGGTTTGGATGATGAACAGCGCGCTCGGGCACGATGTGAGGTAGAACGTCGGCGACAGCTGCCCCGACGCCGCGGAGGCCATTGCCACGAGCACCAGTAAGCTAGGACATGGAGCAGAAGACATCGCTAGATCACTAGCGTATAATAGACAATGTTATTTGGTATTTCTGTCTCGCCTTTTTTTGTGTTGGCCGTGGCTTGCAAGAGAACCATACCAGCATTGCACATATATATAGCTAGAAGAGATTCTGGAGCCACGGTACCCTTGGCTAAAACGTCCACAGTTTGTGCCTAACTTGACTCTTGAGAATCATTATCGTCGAGCAAGGTTACCCCACAAGCGATTAGCATGGACATAAACATCTATTCCGCATGAGCTTAACATGGAACGTTCTCATATTGATTTGATTGCGTATTCAACATAAAATTATACGGCCAACACCAAGTTGGCACTATTCGGGCAAAGAATTTGGCTGCATTATTCGCTCAGTGTATGCATGATTGCATATGGCAGTTCGATATGGCCTTATTATATTGCTTAGGCGAAAACATGCACTCAGTGGCATATCATATCGGCAGGATACATACACCACACATGTGGTTTGTCTCTAAACGACGTGGCAGTTTGATCTATGAGCAGGAGGTACCAACTAATCCACAGAAGTTGTGTATAATGTGTCATTATCTCCCTCTTCTATATGGGTTAAACACATGGGATAAGCTATAACTAGCTAGTAATGGGTTCAAATACAAACTCGAGTACGTGGGTTACCATAGAGGAGATCCGATTAATATGTTGAATGTAAATGAGAATGAATCGAACTTGTATCTTTCATTGATCATCGGATGGTATTTATACAAGGCTTTGCGTCTCTTGGCAAAGTCGGTTACAAGGAGAAGGCGCTTGTTCGGTGATCACAGGCGTCTGTACAATGAGAAGGCGTCCGTACGGACACATGCGTCCGTACAGCGCTTTGGGCATACAAACCGTCTATTACGGTTATAAACTAATTCCAACACCCCCTTGCACAAAGCTACGTCTTGTATGTCTTGTGTCCTTATATAATCTTGAAAATACTCCATGTAGTCTTGATGATCTCTGAAGTTGATAATTACTCCCCCAAAACCCTGTGGGAAAAATGTGAGGAGAATAATATTTGATATGTTGTTAAAACTCCTTAAAAACCCAGTGGAAAAAATAAAAAGAAAATGGTACAACATATAATGGTAATTGTCTCTTTGATAACTTATATATGAGAAAAACCTTGAGAGGATAAAACTCATTGGTAAGTTTAGAGGACAATTTATATGCCTTGTATACATCTGTTAAAAACCCCGGTGGGGAAAATAGGAAGTATGACATATATTCTTGTGTTGATATTACCTCATTAAAAACCTTGATGAGAACCTTGAAAGTAAACTCATAAAGGGAAAAAGAGTGTAAGATAATGTTTGAATAGGTTATAATTCAGGAAGTGACCCCCCCCTGATCCTTGCAATTTAGGTGCAATATGCGTAGTGATATTGCTTTTGTATAACCGGTTTGCATCCGAGCAACACAAATATTATTATCTTTGTAGATAATAATTGGTGATTCAATAGAACCAATGTTGTATGTGTTTTAGCATTCCGTGAATCCACATATATTTATGTGAAGCCTTGTATTTCAGAATGATAGGTGGTTGTAGCCACTAGAGTCCTTTTGAAGACAACAATGGAATGGCAAGCCCACCATATAGGTACAAGAAGCCTATTAATGATCTGACATCACGGGGATTGGATAAGTAGTCAGATGTATCAGCGCATCCGATGATATTGGAGTTCAGATTTCTCTAAAATTTTACAAATAGGTTAAGGTATTTGGTGCATTGGAGATATCGAAAGATACTCTTGTTCCCGTCCACTAGTGTTAGGTCGAATGGCACTGAGATATGGAACATCATGTCCCAGCATCTCGTCTGCATCTTTTATGGTTTTGAATGTATGTTTCTCTACGTCTAGAGATTGAACACCCATAGTGTTTAGATGGATATGACTTGTCCATATTTGAATTTCTCCAATAATTTCTGGATATAGGTAAAACGGTGTACCATATTTCTTGAGTGAAGGTGCTCGAATCGTAGCTAAAGTAAAAAAAAAACGGGTATTTACTTATATCCTTCTTCTCGAAATCCGTCTTTAGATGATTACGTGTTTCATGAAAATCTTCTATGATGCTAATGATGTTATAATCATAACATACACTGATTATGAATATCATACTCAAAATTTCTTGGTGAACACGTGTGAAAAATCATCATTGTTAGAGTATTCCTTTTGTAAAAGGAACTCACTAAGTCGGTTGTACCTTTCGACTATTGTAAGTCATGTAGTGACTTATAGTTTACACTATGTATGTTGCGATTTCTGTCTGGATTCATAATTGGGATTCCTATGAGGGACTTGTATGTATGAATCAAGTGACACATGAGTATATGGTCACTACATCTGTCAACTGCATAAATAGATGATTTGTACTGCCATTGAGACAAGTTATCGGAAAGTGATTCCACTTGTGTCTAGAGAATGTATTTTGGGTATCTGCGTGAACCTTTATGCTACATGCCTTGCTATTGACTCACCACCTTGTTGCTCTCATTCCACTTTTGGACGAAAACTGGTGTAGGTATTTCTTTTGTGTATACCTTTCATTTATTGAGCAAGACTATTTCTCCTTGGGTTGCTTCCTTTGATTAGTCCAGTCCAAGCGAGTGCTTTTCAAATTCTGCCATGGCCATGGTCTTTGGATCTGGATCATTGTAAAGGTTGTTTGCAATATGGTGGAGAATGTATGTCGACAGTTGTAGGCTTTAGTTATATGATTCTCCAGAATATATATAGTTGGTGAAAATCTTGTTTACCCTTGGTGACTCTTCGTGGTTTCCCAATACGGTCGAGTCTAGGTATTCCGATACCCCAGTCATTGTGTGCACTATTGAGCTGGGTTGTGGTGGTTTTTCATCCACTGGGTGTATACTACCCATTTTGTGTCTATCAACGTTAAGTTGACTTGCATTTACTGTTTCGAGGGTTTCTTCCTCACTTTCCTTTGTTGCTTGCAAGAAGCTGAATCCTGCTTTGTGATCGTACTTCTCGCCCTCTTGATTTGGACAAAGAGTTGAGTGGTTTTGTTGGTACCTCCACTCTTTCTGGCACAATTGTTGCAAGATTATAGGATTCTTTTACATATTTGTAGCCAGTAATGGATTTGGCAGGTTATTTGCAACCTATTACAAAGTTTTCTGAACGTGAAGTTCAATGTCTTGAGTACGTGAATTTGAGGCAGAAATGTGTCGAACATTCCAATTAATTTCCTGGCATTCATTTTTGGTACTTAAAGTCTCCCCCTAATGCCTTGAAATTTTCCTCACTAAGCATCCTAGCCTTGAATAACTCCCCCTGATAGGGGCTTCAGGTATTTGACGGAAATACAGTTATTCCTCACATAGATCCTAATTTTCTGTGAAGGGCCATTGATGTATGACGTGGTGGTGATATTGGTATGCAACCAAATAATCGCAGATGGGAAATTCTTTTGATTTGCACGTACTAGTTTTAGAGGGAAGGTACTACGAGATGTAGTATGCGGCAGTTGAATCATGTCAGCAGGGTGTAAAACTGCATGACTCCAACTCAAGGTTGGTAGTTTGCAATTCATTAGTCAGACGTGCTATGAGCTTAATTTTCTTTCACAACCCAGCCATTTTGAGTGTGGATATATGGGACCAAGTGCTGAGCTTCAGTCCATATGCCATACAATATCATTGAAGGCTAGTGAGGAGAGTTGAACTGTGTTGTCCATTCGAATTGACTTGATTCGATTTTGTAAATAATGAGCTTGTAATTTAATACCTTATCTCATTATTATGGAAAATACATGGTTGTGTGGCTAGTAGGCACACATGGGACCATGGTGGAGATGTGTCTATTAGAACCATGAAATTCTTTAAAAGTCCACACAATGGTTGGATATCCTCACAAACTACGAATATTGTGAGAATTTAGCATAATATAAACCACGACTAATGGAATTGTTGATAATTTTCCGCATCATCCATATGTTGGGATGAACAAGGCGTTCATGCCAAGTTTGGAATGCATTAGCATTCTGGAAAATTACCTTATTCACAACATATGTAACGGGTTCGTGCAATACCGACAATAGGTGATTCTGCATTAAAAAAATGCCTTTCATATCCGTTGTTATTGGTAAAAGGGAGATACTACTCCTCTTTGTTGTCATCATAAGTTACGACATGGAAACCATTCTGTCGGATATCTCTGCACTTATAGGGTACAACTTGAACCAATATACTATAAAGTGTTCTTGGTTAATACTTTTATACCCATAGGGAGTGTAGTGTGGCACGACCAAAGCCAACAATTCTTGTATCATGTCAAACGATTATTAAAATATATCCTTGTCTCTTGGTGAGATTTTTGAATATATATTTCCCTTATGTGTAGAGTTTTTGGTTGCATTGTCCACAAAGAATATTTTCTCTTCCATCGGATTGACTCCCGTAGAATTCTATATATAGAATTGAGAATTTTCAATGTGAAAATCTTTATTAGATATATAGAACACATACAAATTTATTTGTATCATGAGTGCTGATACAATATACTGTGATTTACAGTATTTGATAACACCTACATATTTATTAAATAAATAGATGTTGATAAGGAGTTGATAGACTAGTAAAGTCTCCAAACATGTCATTTGAAGCATATTCGATGACCATGTTCTCCGTGTTTATGGGATTTTTTGACGGTTGGAGAGTCTTGTTGTTACATAATGTGAACAAATGACTACCTTGGTATTGTCAGATTGAAGATTGAAGTTTTCTTCATATCTTTACCCTTGAGAAGGCCAATTGTGTCACGTGGATTTTTGATACAAATTGACCATATGTGGCTTGTACTTCTTGTTGCGTTTGCATGTACCCTTCGAGTTCGTTGATTGGTTTCTAGTAGAGCCATCGAACTTGTTGTAATTCTGAAAATTTGCACGTACTACGGGTGGAGGAGAGACACGAAGGAATTCATCAAGTTTCTCCCCCCTAGAGTAGTGCATTAATGTGA